CCCCCAAGCGTCGGCGCCACCTCGCTCTTGCATTACCTCCTTTCTAAATCCAAGCCTTGTCTGCAGTTCCTGTCCAAGTCCACGATCTCACCTCTCCTCTACCCCACCTCGAGCTACCCCCCACCCCCCCCACAAAAACATGTCGTCCCATGTTGGAATTTGAAGGCATGTGTCATTGGGGTGTCCACCAATCCTGAGCTCCTTGGTGGTATAAAACCCTGAGCATGTATGCACTTATTCGCTCTTTCTGTCAGATCAGCACTCCTGAATTGGAGGGTGCCGCACTTTTAGGTGAGGGTGGTGGACCAAGGGTTAAAACTGCAGAGAACAACAACGAAGTAAAAGAGCGCGGATAGGCCAGTCCCTTGTCTATCCAGTAAGGATGGAGAACGCACACACAAAGACACCAGCAGAGTGTCTGGCTCACTTTGGGGTGAATGAGAACAGTGGTCTCACTCCTGATCAGTTCAAGAGGAACCTGGACAAGTATGGCTTCAATGGTGAGAGTACGGGCATCAGGGATGGGGCGGGAGGCCTAATGAAGGAAGAAAGACTTACATAGCAACTGTTTGGTAATAAGGCCACATAAAGAAACTTCTCTCTTTCTTCATTAGTTGCAGAAAAACGTTTTAACAATCAAAATATTACTCAAAGTAGAACAACCTTTGCTGAGATAGTTTGTGGAAGTGTTTTCCTGAGTCAGCACCGGTGGAGCTCTCACAGATACTTGAGTCAAGCTGAACTGAGATTTTGCATGTGATGCTTCTTTAGAAAGCATGTGATGCTTCTACCAGCGTGCAACAGCTGGTAGAAATGCAGAGACACTGAGAAGCAGAGACTTTGAGGGCTTTGAAGAGCTATTTAAAGATAGCCAAAGAAGATGGCTGGAGAGCGAGAGAGACAGGTGATGGCTCAAGAAGCTTCCTGGGTGATATATGGGCCAGGCGTTAACAGGAGAGGTGGATAATTTTAGGCTGGGTAAAAAGAGGAGGTCCTTAGATGGCTTATGGCTAAATGAGCTAAAACATGATTGCTAATCAATAACCAGTGAATGGTAAATTAGATAGCAAAGGATTTGTGATATTGTGTTATAGTTCAGAAGCTGCAATATTCTTGTTTTCATGTTGATTATTCTGTTGCCCTTTTTGTGAGACAAACATTGTGTTTCATTTTCTTTACAAATGAAAGACTTTTCTAAAGTCAGCCATTTTGGGAAGGTTTCATTAGGCCCAGGTTGGAAAATAAAGGAAGCTGATTCGATATTAAGTGATAATACAGCACAATGGCCTTTTAAATTCTGCCATTCACCTATAGCATTAACAGTCATGAAGTATGAAGCGCATGGGGAATTTTGAGAAGGTGGCTGTCAGGGAAAAACTAGTGAGCTTGTTCATCATGTTATACCAAGAAGTATAACTTTTATTTTTACCTAAGCTTTGTTGAAAAAACCACCAACCAACCAAGCATCTTTTTTTTTATGCCTTTCTGTCTCTACACCACTGACTCTCCAACTGTTCAACTGCAGAGCTGCCTGCTGAGGAGGGTAAGTTTTCCCCCCGCCACATTTACAAGATTTTGAACAGATTTGACCCAGGTGGAATGGTTGGGATCACTACTACGGTGAAGTGGCCCTCATCCACAGAAGGGTTGTAATAAAAATATGCAGGCAACATTTTGATTATGAAACGTCCACACTCAAATGACTGTCACCGGACACCATCATCATCAAAAGATCACAGACCTTTTAAGTAGACTCTGAATACTTTCCTTAGCACTGAAAAACACTCAGTCACAAATTTCAGTAATTACATTCATCTTTTTGTTATAATTATCTGTTGATATATATTCATTTTGTGTGTGCCACTCAGGTAAGAGCATCTGGGAGCTGATCATTGAGCAGTTTGAGGACTTGCTTGTCAGGATCCTACTACTGGCTGCTTGCATCTCTTTTGTAAGTAAACAAGTGATTATATTAACCATGCCAGTACTTTTAAGCTGTGTTTATTCCTTTCATGTGCATTTTAAACTCAAGAACCACCAGCAGCAGTAGTAGTAGTAGCAGGATTAGTTGTAGACACAATAGTAGTAACAAATCCCACAAGACCCTAACACATCACATGGGATCGGACTCTTCACAAAATAAGTGCTTCATATTAAAACTAAACAGTAAAACACAAGTGCATTTTGTCACTTTTATCTCTGGTTCCCCTTATTGTCTTGATTGCCATCTTGAAACAGGTAATTAACTGTAATTCACTTTAAAACCCACCACACAAACTGACACAGTAAACAAGCATGGTGTAGTGGTTCATTTCAATATGACCACTTTGTCAACACAACTTATATCCTCTTCAAGTCCCTCTACCCTTCCATATATTTGAGAGGAGGGAGACAGATTGCAAAGGCTTATAGGAGGTGTATTAATTCCTGTGCCCAGTTTTCACCCCTTTGGGCAGCTGTCATGATGGCCTTAGAAGGCGAATATTGAGGACCCAGTGAGAGACGGGGGTCAGAAAAGTTTAGGGGGGCTGAGGGGTAAGGATTTATTTTAAGAAAGCCCCAAGCTGAGGAGAGAAACTGAATCCTTCGGGAAAGGTCAGGCCTGAAGGAAGGAACGAAGGGCCTCCACAGAAAGAGGGTTGAAGTCAGAAAGAGCAAGGAGTTATGGGACACTGAGACTGAATTAATAACAACAACAATGATAAACCAAAATATTATCAAAATAAAGTATGATATTGCTCTGCATAGTTGAGCTTATAAAAGTAGTAGTGAGCTTATTTTTCATATTGTTTGCATGTAAAACCATGCTAAATGCGTACAAAACTGTAAATGCCCTCTAAATACCCCACTGCATTATGTCAGCCTCCACAGTCCTTAAAAATGTACCCTGTTATTATTCAGATAATTCATATTATTGTATTCAGTGGTAAACCTGCAAAGAGTCCTTACATTCAGTGAATGAGCATATTTAAGCCACAATCATCCATTTAGTAGAGAGGTACAGGTATATTTTTCAGGAGCACTATGTCCCACTGTCACTGTTGTTTGACTCTTTACTGTGTCGACCTCAGGTGCTGGCCTGGTTTGAGGAAGGTGAAGAGACTGTCACTGCCTTCGTGGAACCCTTCGTCATCCTCCTTATCCTCATTGCCAATGCTGTTGTGGGAGTGTGGCAGGTCAGTGATGAGGGCCAGCACATTGAGCAATAAGACATATTTACTGCTGTGTTGACAGAATGTACACAAGTTCCAGTTACTGCCAGTGATCTACCCAGACATGGTTGCTCAATTGGAATATTGGAATACTTGGTTTGAAGCTCAGAATAATGTGACTGTTGCAACATCAAGCAAATCTTAAATAAACAATATTATTCATTCAATATATAAAAAGTCTTATAATCAGTGCTTATTATGTGCATATTTTAAGATTTGCAAGATATCTTGTTCATGTTTTGACTGCAGGTGTCATGTCAGCCATGCCATTAAGTAATTGGCACTGCTGCCAGGCATCAGTCACTGCAAGGACATTGCTGCTGTTCATCCTGCCAAGTGCTGAAATCAACTTCTTCACTCCTGTTATTCTCGTTAAAGACAGAACTGGCTTTAGCAGCCTGGTGTTAAAAGATGTGTACGTGTCAGATCAAATTACAGCACGCCAAAAATTATCTCAGGAGAAAGTGTGCACCCTCTTGCAAAGCTCCTCAATGAGACAATGCTAATGAACATAGAACAACAAAAATTTGGCACATGTA